AACATGTTTCACACTACTTCCTGAGAATCAGACAAGATTTTTAACAATATTGATTGTTACCTAGTTGGGACGCATTTCTACTGAACCATGGGATCAATAAAAGCTGGATGCTAGCCTAGCGAAAATCTACTTACCCGAAAGAAGTCCCTCTTAGTCCGGGTGTGGTGGCTCACACCAGCGCTTTAGGAGGCCCAGGTGGGTGGATCACAAGGTCAGGAGTTTGAGACCAGCCTGGCCAACATGGTGAAACCACGTCTCTACTAAAAATACAAAAAATTAGCCAGGTGTGGTGGCAGTTGCCTATAATCCCAGGTACTCGGGAGGCTGAGGCAGGAGATTAGCTTGAACCCAAGAGGCAGAGGTTGCAGTGAGCTGAGACCGTGCCACTGCACTCCAGCCTGGGCAACAAAGCGAGACTCTGTCTAAAAAAAGAAAAGAAAAGAAAAAAAAAAAAAGAGTCCCTCTGAATTATCAGCATGTGTGTAGGCCTACAGATACTTCAGGAATGTATTTGCCATTATCATTAACTTGTATGTACATAGCAAGTGAAGATTCAACAATTTAGTTTTTTGGGCATACTCAAGAGTATGCACCTATAACCGTATGGCCCATTGTTAATCTCCTATACAGTCCATTCTAGGAATGTTTGGGCTTACTGTGCCATTTTTCAGTTCACCGCCTTCCCCTCTGCAATATACCTTTAACCCTTGCTAGGTCCTGGGTTTGGAGAGCCAGAGAACCAACTTTGGCCCTAGAGAAGCTGGATAGGTGGGAATATCTGCTTACAAAGGGCCTTGCAACCACTTCCTCTTGGAACCTTGGTTTCCTCTTTCTGAGTTGTCACTTTGAGTACCCTTTATTAAGTTAGAATGTAAAAACAGTTTCTCACTGATACATCTACAGTGCCTGAGATAGGGCCTGGCACAGAGTAAGTACTCAATAAATATTTGAATGGGGCTGAGCGTAGTGAGACCTGTCTCTACAAAGAATGAACAAAATTAGCCTGGGTGTGTTAGCACACGCCTGTAGTCATAGCTACTTGGGAGGCTGAGGTGGGAGGATTGCATGAGTCTGGGAGGTCGAGGCTGTAGTGAGCCAAGGTCACACCACTGCACTCCAGCCTGGGGGACAGAGCAAGATCCTGTCCCAGAAGAAAAAAATGTATATATTTCAATGGATAAAGAGAGGTCTTTGAGTTTCTGAGATATATATGGTGCTGTTTATCTAAAGTAAACAACTTTTCTGTAAACATTTTAAGGCTTTGCAGGCCAGCTGTAGTCTCTGTCACACATTCTTATGTGTGCATGTTTTTCCCAACCATCTAAAATTGTAAAGTGCATTCTTAGCTACCGGGGCAGGTTAAATTTGGCCCATGGGCTAGAGTTTGCCAACCCCTAACTTAAACCTTTGTACTAACTTTATGACCACTAACTACTGGATTTTTGTTGTTTGTTTTAGTTCTGGTGCCTGCTTTCTGTCTTTTTTTTTTTTTTAAATCACTTCTCTTGCTGATGTTTCTTGGTGCAGTCACTGTGCCATTTGTATTGGGGATTTTAATGTAATGCAAACTGGGAATAATAACTAAACTTGCTGGGGTTGTACATAAAGTTACTGAAAAGATGCTGAGTATTGACTCTGTGGCATTCATTATGCCCTTTTGTGGTTGCTGGATTTTAGCCGTCTTTAGGATATTTGAGCTTTAGGAGAAGCCAAATTCTGTATAAATGACTTGAAGTGCTAATGGCACAGATTTTGAAATCTCTGCCTGGATTTGAGTCTCAGCTCTGCCTTTTACTACTTGTGTGATCCTGAGCAAGTTACTTAGGATCCCTGTCCTCTGGTTTCCTCCTCTGTAGTGGTGGGGATAATAACATAGACATAACCTCAGAGCTGGAGTGTAGAGAAGGCTCCCTGGCAGATAGTGCTGTAGAAGTACTGGCCATTGCCATTACTCAGATGCTTGTGTTTGCTGATCCTCATAGTAAGGGCTCGGAGAGCACTAAGAGGAGGTGAGAATGCTGCTAGATTGACAGCTTGTCCCCAGATAGCCCATTCCTGAGAGCATCTTAGCTTTATTCCTGATTTGTGTTGTAGTTAGTAGTGTCTGTGGTAATTTTAACTAGTTTCAGGTTGGTCTTGAAAACCTGGAAAGGTTGGGGGTAAATGATTTGGTAGCAGTTCCCTTGTGATTTTATAAATTATCTTTGTAGAACTGCAGTGTGCTAATTCTCTGAGCCCAACACAATGAAGTCTGGGCCTAAAATCATAGGATTTCTTTTATTTTTTAAAATTTTTAATTCATTTCTTTTCTTTTCTTCTTTTTTTTTTTTTTGAGGTGGAGTCTTGCTCTGTCACCAGGCTGGAGTGCAGTGGCATGAAGTCAGCTCACTGCAACCTCCGTCTCCTGGGTTTAAGCGATTCTCCTCTCAGCCTCCCGAGTAGCTGGGTCTATAGGCGTGTGCCACCATACCCAGCTGATTTTTGTATTTTTAGTAGAGACAAGGTTTCTCCATGTTGGCCAGGATGGTCTCGATCTCTTGACCTCGTGATCCACCTGCCTTAGCCTCCCAAAGTGCTGGGATTATAAGCGTGAGCTACCGTGCCCGGCCTATTTTTTTTTTTTTTGAGGTGGAGTGTCACTCCATCACCGAGGCTGGAGTGCAGTGGTGCAATCTCAGCTCACTGCAACCTCTGCCTCCTGGGTTCAGGTGATTCTCCTGCCTTAGCCTCCCGAGTACCTGGGACTACAGGCGCCTGCCATCACACCTGGCTAATTTTTGTATTTTTAGAAGAGACAGGGTTTCACCATGTTGGCCAGGCGGGTTTAGAACTCCTGATCTCAAGTGGCCTACCTGCCTCGGCCTCCCGAAGTGCTGGGATTACGGGCATGAGCCACCATCCCCAGCCAAATCATGAGATTTCAATACTGCTGAACTTTGATTATGGCAAAGTGAACTACTGATTTGATTAAAGCTTGATGAGAGAGGTGGCTGGGGATAGTTTGAGATAAGGGCAAGGCAGGAAAATGCATAATCTTAGGTGGGCTCATTGTCATTGTACAATTCTTTTGGTCTGTGTGGCATTTGATCCGTCCTATGACTTAAGTTACGTTTATTTTTGTTTTTATTTTTATTTTGATTTATTTTATTTCTTTTTGAGAGACATGGTGTTGCTCTGTCACCCAGGCCAGAATACAGTGGCACAATCATAGCTCCATGTAGCCTTGAACTCCTGGGCTCAAGTGATCCTCCCACTCAGCCTCTCAAACAGTTGAGATTACGGTATGAACCACTGTGCCTAGCCTTAAGTCATTTTTAAATTTGTACTGAACAGTTTGTCCTTTCCTTCCATTAAATCATATTAGAAGTACAGAACTTGATATTTCCTGTAGCAATACAGTGTATCTTTGATGAAGTTTGATTTCAAGTACTTATTTTTCATAATTTAAAGCTATTTTTTATAGAGATAATTTTAATCAAATATTTGGATGTCGCTATTGCTATATGTGATATTAAGTATGGTGACCATAGTTTGTAAACTCCAAACTGGCAGCAGGACAGGAAATTTGTGTTAGCAAAGGCTTTTTTCTTACTGTTTGAATTTTTTAAAAATTAGGTACCATACAGAGAGGAGCACACAAATCGTTAAGAGTACGGCTCAGTGAATTCTCACAAAATGAACATGTGTAAACAGCAAGTAACAGAAGATTTACCTGCATCCTATAACCTCCCATTATTCCCTTGTCTAGGTACTCTCTCTCCACTGCACTCCCACCAAAAATAACCACTATGCTGAATTCTGATATCATAAATGAGTTTTGCCTAGTTTTGAGCTTTTGTGACTGGAATCGTACAGTGTGTATACCCTTTTGACTCTGTCCTCTTTAGTTTACCATTGTTTGAGAGATTTATCCATACTGTTCCAGGTCGTTGTAGTTAATTCATTCACATTGTTATGTAGTATTCCTTTGTGAGTAAACACAATTTCCATTCTGCTGTGATCCCAGCTATCCATTTGGGTCGTTTCCAGTTTAGGGACCATTACAAATAGTAATGCTATCTGTAATGCTATTTTGTGTTACTACAAATAGTAATGCTATTTGTAGCACAAAAATAGTGCTTTTGTGAACATTCTTATACATATCTTTTGATGAGTATATGTTTGCATTTCTGTTGTTTACATTATGTACCTACTAATGGAATTGCTAGATCATAGGAGATGTACATGTTAAGCTTTAGTAGATGCATTACATAATTATTAGTTATTATTGGTTATACCAATTTACTCTCTCACCAGTAGTATACAACAGTTTCTATATCTCTGATCTCCAACATTTTAGCCATTTTAGAGTTTGTGTAATAACACATTGTGGTTTTAATTTACATTTCCCTGATGACTAATGAAGTTGAGTACCTTTTTTGTGTTCTTTATAGCCATTTGACTGTCTTGTGAAGTGCTTGTTTGTCTTGCCTTTTCTTTTCCCCCTCCCCTCCCCTCCCCTCCCCTCTTTTTGAGACAGATTCTTGCCCTGTCATCCAGGCTGGAGTGCAGTGGTGCAATATCAGCTTACTATAGCCTCAACCTTTTGGGGGCTCAGGTTATCCTTCTATCTCAGCCTCCCAAGAAGCTGGACTACAAGCACACACCACCATGCTCAGTTAATTTTTTAATTTTTGTAGAAATGGGGTTTCACCATGTTGCCCAGGCTGGTCTCAAACTTCTGGACTCAAGTAATCCTCCTGCCTTGGCCTCCCAAAATGCTGGGATTACAGGCATGAGCCACCGCAGCCAGCCTTGGCTGTTTTTCAATAGGTTATAAGTAGAACATCTGTATATCCCTTCAATTTGCATATCATTCAGTAAGAGTTGCACTCTGGTAGTAGAAATATAGAAGAAGGAGAAAGAAGTGGAAACAAAAAGTCTATTTTCATGAGAAGACTTGGGGGCTAGTGTTCTCTCTGGCTCCAAGCTACTTATTCCTTACCAAAAGATGAGGATAAACTTATCTCAGACTCAGGCTGTCTCAATGCTGTCTTCCTATTCCATTATACACATATAACCCATATTTTTTTCACCAGCTGAATTTTGTTCCTAGAAAATTGATTTATCAGGAAAAAATTCCATCTTGCAAGGTGGTTCTCTTTAGAGTCTACTGTGTAACATAGCTCAGGACAAATTGCATGATGTCAGATAAGTTGGGTTAAGGAATAGACCTTATTGGGGAAAGAGAGAACTTGGAGGGCCAAGGTTAGCAGGAGAAGGAAATGTTCTCTCATCTGCTATCATTTCAGGAAGGGGCAAACCTGGTGTCTGTGTTCACAGGGAGGGATCCATCTATACGTGATTCTCCCTTCTTACCAGGTAGCATGGGAAAGCTACTGCTGTGGGGAGGAGGATTACACACAGGTTACTCGGTACCAGGCACCCTGGACTTGGATTCAGGCTGCCAGTTGTGTGAGAAACTGCCCAGCACTTGAAGGTTCTGAACCCGTGGGAGGTTGCACCTACCTCCCATAAGGAGGAAGCCTGTCGTCCCATGGGAGCTGAGCTTGGGTGCAGTCCCTCTTGCTGGCTTGTCCAGGAGTGAGCTCCAGGGTTGTTTGGGACAGTTCTGCTCATTGCATTACACTGTGTGTACATTATCTGTAAAGTTCCATGAAGAGAACTTCAGCTCTGTAACTGCAAGTTTTAACATGGAACAGAATTTTTCTCACCTGTATTGATTCTTAAGATTTGAAATTCTGTCAACAAGCATTTAAATTGTGTGGAGTTTTTTTTTTTTTTTTTTGAGACAGAAGGCTGGAGTGGCAGTGGCATAGTCTTGGCTCACTGCAGTCTGTACTTCCCAGGTTCAAGCGATTCTCATGCCTCGGAGTCCCGATTAGCTAGGTGTACGGGTGCACACCATCACACTGGCTAATTTTTGTATTTTTAGTAGAGACGGGGTTTCGCCATATTGGTCAGGCTCGTCTCGAACTCCTGGCCTCAAGCAATCCACCCGCCTTGACCTCCCAAACTGCTGGGATTACAGGTGTGAGCCACCATGCTTGACCGGCATTATGTTAAAAGAATAAATGTTCTAGGCAGCTGGGCACAGTGGCATGTTTCTGTAGTCCTAGCTGCTCGGGAGGCTGAGGTAAGAAGATCCCTTGGGCCCTGGAGTTCAAGTCCAGCCTGGGCAACATAGTCAGATCTCATTTTTTAAATAAATAAATAACTGTTCTAGAGACTAAAATTTCCTTTCACCATTAGTAATTTACTGTGGAATCTCCAAGAATGAACTTATTTTAGGTACTGAAAATGAGGGAGACTAAATGTTTTATACAGTGGTTTTTAGTAAAGTATGAGATTTGATGCATTTGATAGATGATAATGTTTTTTGTTTTTTGTTTTTTGTTTTTTTTTGAGACAGAGTCTTGCTCTGTTGCCCAGGCTGGAGTGCAGTGGTGTGATCTTGGCTCACTGCAGGCTCCGCCTCCCGGGTTCATGCCATTCTCCTGCCTCAGCCTCCCGAGTAGCTGGGACTACAGGTGCCCGCCACCACGCCCAGC